GACGAAGAAGTAGAAGACATAAAAAGAAAAAAATAAAGAAAAGAAGAGAAAGGTCGATACTCTTCTAAAAGCGCGATCAGGTTTCAAGATAGTGTAGGTCGGTGTTGGGTCTCCTGTTTTCTCTTTCCCCCTTGGGTAGGAGGCAACGCTGCATCGTAGAGAGTTAGTGTCTCGAGTAAAGAAATATTCCCTATCCTAGTAATTAAAAATCTTATGTCGTCCGTAGCACGGCTACGAACGTGTTTCTCACAACCTTATCACAACCTTATTATAGAGTGCCCTGGTGACGAGGTCGAGCCTACGCGCTTCCGGGTCGCGTGCGACCGTCCGCGATCTATTTTCTCTTCCTCTCTTCCTTCATATTATCCTACCGGTTCACCTTATAATCCATCGTTTGGCGCGGCACTCGAGGAGATGGCGGCTTCCCGCCGCCTGTTCCCTCGTTTATTTATTTACTTATCTCCTTTATCGTTAAAGATACTTTAAATTCTGGTCATATAAAGAGTACTTCGCGTATGTTACGGGATATGTGTGTGTGTGTGTGTGTGTCACGTAACGTGTAGGTGTGTGTTTATATGTGGACCGCGTCTACACAATGCCTCAACACCATCGACACGTATTTCATTGAGAGCGGCGACACCGAGAATAAATGTCCACTTCTGAGTTTTGCTCTCGAAAAGCGATCCTTAATGGCCGGAGGAGAAGTTTCGACGAAGAGACAATAGAGAAGCACTTTCGACTCAGGAGAAATATGATTTTAAAAAGGAGCAAAAAAGTCCTTAAATAAATACACAGTCTGTTCCTCTCTCTCGAAGTCGCCGCAGGAAACATCGGTTTCGCGGAAAGTTTCAGTTACCGGGACGCAAATTTCCAGATTAACTGGGAATCTTATTCCGTTTAATTTTGAGCGAACCGCGCTCGAGTGCGCGGAAAGAAAAACAGAGAACCGCTGAGATATACACTTAGTTTACACGTCAAGAATATTAGGAAGTCACGACGACGAACAGTCTAACCGGGCTAGAGGAAAAAAGCGCGCGAAGCAGTCGTCATTGAAATACATAGCGTTGGCTCTGGGACGTTATGTGCAGCGTGTGTATGTGTGTCTATGTTGTTTGTGTACGTATGCGAGTGTATAATCGCGTGTCAACGTGAATACATCGGGAGGCGATTTTAAAGTGTGACTTTATACAATGCGCGGTCGCGACCGAGCGCGGCGCGCGCTAAACCACCGCAGCAGTTTTGCTCCCGAGTCGACGTTATTTATCCACCAAGAGAAGAAGTGTCTCTACGAATAGAAAATATTTATTCTCCGTGGGTGCGAATAACATACTTACTTATACTAATATAAAACGCATCTCTCACAAATGAGAAAATATACATTTTCTTCAGAAGACCTCAGCTTCTCACGAAAGCAATTGCTTCTTTCATTGAAGTAAAGGAATCTCGAGTTAAATATGCACCGAACGGACATTCTTTATTTCTTCGATATGTTTTCTCTCAGTGTATACGGAGGAAAAGAGGATCTAAAAATTTATTGACCGGACATAAAGTTTACTTCCGCGCGCGCGGAGAAAGAAGTCTGATTGGATCGACCGAATGTCCGGCGAGAAACGAATGAGTCAGAATTCCGCGTTTATCAGAATTCTGTTCACAGTCAACTGTTCTAGTTGAACAGTTGCAAGTTCCAGAGATCTCGTTAACTCGAGCAGAATTCTGTGTGTCTTTGACCGGAATTCCGATTCGTGCAGAAATTACATCAAGACAATCCAATCCAAGCGACTTTTTTTCCGTGTGTGAAGTAAAGTCGATTTCTGTGAATGAACCTTACATCCCGCGCGAGTTTTCAGATTTCAAATCTCTCCTCTTGGTATGCGAACGTCGCGTCAAGCAACGCACCGCCTCGGTGTCGCCGGCCGCGAAGTCGCGAGACTTTGTGGACCAGTAATTATTCACAACCGTGCGAGCGACTTAACGATCGGCAGATACGACGTATCTCTACCGCGTTTTACCTACGACTAACGTGCACGCACGATTATTTCTCCGTTTTGTCGTTGGTGAGAAAAGCACGTCCCCGCGCTTTGCCCGACGCGCTCGCTCGCCGTGTCGAACCGAACTCGCGTGTTTCTCCCTCAAATCGCGGAGATTCGCGTCCCCCTCTTCTCCCCCTTGCTCTCTCGGCAAGCCGCACGTCCCATTCTGGAGGGCGGAAAATGAAGAGGAATTACCCGATAAAAAATTAATAAAGGGATATTTCCGATCAAAATACCGATAAACTTTTATATCCGGTCGGGATATCCGATTAAATCTTCCATCGGATCGGATACTTCCGATCATAATGGCATCTTGTCAGATAAGCCGATGAAAAAATCATGAACCGATATTTCTCTTCGGACGTTTCCTGATTGGATGCACGGGGAAAAGTAATTTGCTGGCCCAGCAAATCTTCTGCTGGTCTAGCAAAATCTTCTCGTTATTATATGGATTTGCTAAGAATAGCTAATTACTACTTGCTGGATATAATTTGCTGAATCTACAAATTATTTTGCTATAAGAACCATAATGGATTTATTTAAGCAGTTGCAGTTTTGCTTCGATAGCAAATAAATTTGCTAAGGATACATTATTTCGTATCAATAGCAAATTAACGTGATTTTTAGGACAAATATACTCAACAAATTTTTTCTATCCTGGCAACAAAACTTCTTCTGCTCTGATAACGAATAATTTGTAAAATTAATTACGCCAACTAAATTTTTTTGATGTCACTACGAATATGCAGTAGCAACGACGATTTTACTAAAAGAGTAAAATTATTTTTCTCTGTGTACAAAAATTGGTTTTTGATCGGAAATATCCATTTGTCAACTTTCTATCGAATAATTTCCCTCAGTGTGCACGACGAAGGGTCTCAAGCGCGAGAGAAAAAAAATGGTGGTTACCGCGTTTCTCGTGACAAATGAGAGAGATTTTCCACTGACGACGAGTTCGGTTTTCATCGTGAGTAGCGAGATACTTGCGAGAACACGCTGCGTTATACGCTGATCGCAACAAATTGCATTTATGGGCTCTCAAGTCGCTAAATTCGATCGCCTTCCGTGAGATTAAGCTTGGGAAACTGCGCGGAGGAGGCGAAATTTCGTGAGAAAGAGAGAGGAATTTTGTGCGCGGATTTTGAACTGACAGAGCTGCGCGCGCGGTGGCATATGATGCAGGTCGAGAAGATGGTTGTCGCGCCGGCGGAGAGGCACAATTTCCTTTATCACGAAAAGTTTCCCCCCTTCAACTTTCGCCCTTTAAAGCTCTTCAGGGGAAAGGGCGGATTAGCGCCGGCTTCTCCGCCAATCTTGATCGCGCGCAGCGTGCACCTCACAGATGAGATCCCGCATCCACTCGCGCCCGGCATCTCTTCCCAGGATCCTTAATAAATTTTCGCGAAAGTTCCGCGAAAGATAAGTGCATATCGCTCTTTCTCACGCTTAAGTCACGACGATTCGTTATATCAGCCGAGAGAGGATTGTCGAGATTTCCACATGGCGTGTGTGCGTGACTTCGGAAATGGCAGAAGAAAAGTGTGAAAGCTTCCGTCTGGAAACGAACTGAAGGTCTCGAAGATCGAGACAGCCGATCAGGTGCCGCCGCGGTTATCCGAGCGCAAGGGAGAAATTGATTTCGCGTGATTCCAAATTCGCCAGCATTTCTCTCGAGTCGAGATCCTCTCAATCGGAAAAAAATTCTCCGACTTCCTTCCGTTGTTACCTTCGAGATTTATCGTCTCGAGAGCTCCGTAGTCGCGCTTTTAACGCAGTCAGCAGCGTATTATCGCTGCTTCCTCTTCGATGGAGGGAATTGCGAGCGCTCAGTTGCCTGTCGGACAAATGTAATTGCTCGCACTTCTCTCAACGACGCGATTCTCTCGATATCTTAATTGAAAGGCGCGGCCGAAAATAAATGACCGACGCTTACTCGCGGGGTGGGAGCCAGTTCTCGCCAGTTCTGAAACGATAATAGGTCCCGCCAATTTGCGAGATCTGGTGACTTATTTGGCGTCACTCTCTCTCGCGCGGCGCTTCTCGCCGTCTTTGTGCCGTCCGTATTAAGGTCTCGCCGTTGAAACGTAACGCGCGCGAACAATCGAGGCGAGGCGAGTCGGGATTGACGTTAATTGCGACGCGCTTTCCCCTGGACGAAGAACTTATTTAACGACCTTCCCCTACCGATTCAGCAGATCCCGGTGAGAGATCCCGCGGGTGGAACGGAAGAATCGGCCGGAGGAGATACGCAATGCCAGCCAGTCAGCCAGCCAGTCAGCCAGCCAGTCAGCCAGCCAGCCAGCCAATCGTACCGCGAAATTCCGCACCATTGCTGCCGTTGCTGTTGCTGCCGTCGCTTCCGCCGCTCGGCGAGAAGAAAGACACGACGTCGGGACGACCTCGAGTTCTTCTGCTCGCCGAGCAGCGAAAGGGGATCCTCGCGCGGAGGAAGAGCTCCGAGAAACGGTAGTCGCTTTGTCTCTCTGTCTCCAAACGGGGAGAGAATCCTCAGCGGATTCGCAGCAACCGCCTGAACGCCCTTCTATAGTCGAGGTTGAAGATCGTGTAGATGAGGGGATTGAGAGCGCTGTTGACGTAACCGAGCCACGTGATGAAGTACACCATCCTGTCCGACGGACAGCACGCCGGGCAAAACGGCACGATGACGTACATGAGGAAGAACGGCAGCCAGCAGACGACGAACACGCCCATGATAACGCCGAGGGTCCTCGCGGCGCGTCTCTCCTTCGACAACGAGATCCTCTGTCGCTCCTCGATGAACTGGTAGACCGTCGAGGTGGCGGCGGCGACGCCGGCGTTACCACCACGTCTGGCGGACGGGCCGGTGACACTGGCACTGCCGCCTATCGTCACCTCGGTCGGCTCGTCGTCGATCAGCGACGGCTTCGCCTGCAGACGCGGCGTCGAGCGCTCGTTGTGATTCGTCTCCGAGCTCACCGACTCCTCGGCGTCGTCGGTCTCGCGATGCCTGGTAGACTGCACCGGCCCGAGTCTGCTCTGCCGCGCCCGTTCGCGCAGCCTCCTGCGCGTCGCCAGGAAGATCTCCAGGTAGACCAGGCTCATCAGCAGCAACGGTATGAAGAACGAGCCCAGGGAGGAGTATATGACGTATCCCTGGCGTCTGGTGAGCTGGCACGGCGTGCCCGGCTCCAGCTCTTCCGGCCAGTCGTTCCAGCCGGCCAACGGCGGCGAGCTGATCGCACCCGAGAGGATCCACACGCCGGCGATCGTCGCCAGCACGCGCTTGAGGGTGCGCTTTTGCGCGTAGTTGATGGGGTCGGTGATCGCCCAGTAGCGGTCGAGGGCGATCGCGCACAGGTTGAGGATGCTGGCGGTGCAGCAGAGTACGTCGCACGTCAGCCACAGTTTGCACAGATGGATGCCGAAGATCCACTTGCCGAGCAAGAGGTAGGCTACGTTGAACGGCATCACGAGCAGCGCCACCGCGAGGTCCGCCACTGCCAGCGAGACGATGAAGAAGTTCTGCACGATGCGCAGCGGCCGGTACGTGAAGACGCTCAGGATCACCAGCGCGTTGCCGAACACCGTCGCCAGCACGAGGAAGCCGAGGGTCAACAGGGCCGCCACCGCCTCCCACGTCGGCAGATTCGAGCCGGTCTCCTCTTCCGGGACACCGCAGCCGCCCATCTCGTAGTCCTCCGACATCGTGCCGCCGGACTCGCCGCTCGCGTTCATGTCGTCCGGGCTGTTCTCTGCAAAGCCAAGTCGTTTATCATCGTGTGCGATCGTCAATCAACGGTGAGTCGGCTTTACTACGCTTTTACGCTCGCTCTTTCCCTGCCTCTTTTTCCGCCTCTTTTCATTGTAACGGTTATTTAGTATCTATGACTCCGATGGTTCATTGTTAGGAAAACAGACAGAACAGTCATCAAATTATCCCTCATCATTTGTCATTTTAATAGACATATATTATCTGAGATACAAGTCACATTTGTTCTCGTCTGTTTAGTTTAAATTAGTTGTGTCTCTATTACGAAAGTGGTGCTTTCGTAATAAAGCTTGCTTAACAGCAAGTTAAATGTGACAAACCATTTATTTCCATTACCGAGTTATTTATTACGTTCCGCGTCAACCAACTAGTTGTTAATAACCGGTATTAATATTTTGTTAAATTAGCGATACATTCTCTCAGTGCGCATTTAATAATCATTAGGGAAATAGTTGCAGGTCATTCCTCATCATTTGTCACTTCAACAGAGATATATTGTCTGAGAAACAAGTCATATTTGTTCTCGTTTATTTGTTGAATGTGTACAAAATTTGCCGTATGAGTGCAATTCATAATATTAGTTAACACGGTTTGTCGTCGGAACGGTCGGACGACCTTGGCGTGGTCGGACGAACGCCTGTGACACCGAACGGCGGTGGAAGAGCTCGCCGGTGTCCACGGGTTCTTTGCGGCTCGGTGCGATTGTCGGTGTTGGTGTGTGTGAGTGAGTAAAAGAGCACGTGGATCCCCCATGGCGCATTGCGTCCAAGCACCCGGGGGCTGCCAAAAAATTGGTGTCGACCCCGGGGCTTATTTGTATTATTTGCACCGGATGAGGAGGGGCAACGGTGGAGACGGGCATACATGGATAGCAGGTCTTAAAGGATAGCAACCTTTGACTTTGAGAGACTGAGGGCCGGTTTTTCCAACCTCTTGCTAAGCTAACTAACAGTTAACTCATACGTCTGTCTTTGTTTCTCCTTTAAATTAGGTAGAAACAGACATAAGATTTAACTGTTAGTTAGCTTAGCAAGAGGTTGGATAAACCGACCCTCAGGGTCGGTAAGCTAACTAACAGTTAAATCTTATGTCTGTTTCTACCTAATGGCACACAGAAAAACTTAAGCAGTAAGCAAATTGACCAATCAGTAGTTGATTCTTGGACGAAAGAAGATCAATAACTGTGATTGGTCAATTTACTTACTGCTTACGTCTTACTGCTTATGTTTTTCTATATGCTACCAGCTTGACAGCTGTACCATTTGGTACAGTAACATTGTTTCTCTCTGTAGTCGCCGTGCGCTCGGGATCGCGCCAGAGATGTCGCTTCCGAACGGCATCTCTGAGCGTTATCTAGGAAGAGGAGAGCATTATCTAGGAAGAGAGTGTCGTGAGCGTGGAGCATCAAGTAGCTCAGTGGTTTAGAGCAGTTGTCCAGCAAGCGAAAGACCCGGGTTCGAGTCCCCCGGCCTAGCAGGACCGCGCTCTCGATATTTTTCTCTTTCTGAAACGAAAAAGATACGCAGATCTTGAACGCACGGCGTCCCGCCGCCACCTAGTATGCCCTCCTCCTTCTATGGTGTTCTTCGTGTTTAATGAAAAAAACAAAAAATAATTTATTGAATTCTTGTTATACGCGGTGTGTCGTTAGCGGGCGCGGACTTACTTCTAATCTTACAGCTAAGCGCAAACTTACACCTAGACGCGAACTTACGACTAAACGCGACCTTACAACTAACTCGCGGCGCATTCGGGCGCCTGTCGCAGGCTTCCCACGTACGCTCGAAAACGGCGACGTGGACGAGTCCGGCGGTCGGTCGCGGCGCGGATGGTCTCGCGGCGGGTTGACGCGATCGGTTAGGCTGGTTGCCCTGGATGAGGGTGGCGTCGGATAAGGGCGCACGAGAGGATCCAGCGGGAGGGAGCCCAGAACTCAGGGCCCTTATTCTTGAAATAGTTGCGTATACGTAAGTTTTACTGCGCAGCTATTTTATGGTATGATTAAACCTGCACTGAGAGAAAAAAATAGTTGGAATAACTATAATCTCACTATATTTTGTAGTTCGTTTTGGCCTCAAACATATATTTATAGTTCATCTAAACATGAAGATATAGTAGAATAAACACAGATTTATAGTCACCATTTTATGACTCTATGTATATAGTAAAGCACTTTGAGAATATAATTACATGTACCTATATTTGCCAAATATTCCAATTGTATTGACTATATAAAATAGTTAATTTCTCTTACCATTCAATATTTGCTACCTTACTATATTTTTTATTTCAAATAATTATAATTCTTGGTAAAAATTTTACACGGGTCAGTTATACTATGCTAATATTGTAAATATTACAAATATTATGGTAACATTTACTATAAAAATTATATTCCTAACTATAATCTTTTTACTATGTCATTATAGTTCCAAATATCATATATTTTTCTCTCAGTGTGCGCAGTAAAACTTACGTATACGCAACTATTTCAAGAATAAGGGCACAGTGCTGGGATTCTATAACTCGTTATTGGAGTTAACGACAGTTTTGTTATCGTTGCGCAGTTTTTGTATACTGTAGAAAAGCTGCACAATAATAACGAAACTGTCGTTAACTCCAATAACGAGTTCCCAGCACAAACAGAATCCCAGCACAAGGCAGAGACGGTGAGCTCGCCACCTCTGTATCCCTCGGTTGCTGGTTTATTTCGTCTCGTGGTGCGGCCTTGAGAGTAGATGAGCGCACCTTTCCTCGCGGTCGTGTCTCTAGGAGGCAGGGAGGTCAGGAGCGCTTGACCGAGGCGCCACCTCTTGTTCCCAGACCTCTCGGATCGGTTGCGAGATGCTACGTCCGGGATGATGAGCGCATCTTTCCCAGTTGTAACGGTCTCAGGATAGCCGATGTGCTCACCGACTTCAGGACAGTCAAGATAGGCGAACGTGCTCGTGAGAGCAGCGGACGCCTCAGGATTGGTCGCTTATCGTTATCACGCTCCGCTTATATACCCGCCGGCTCGCAATTTCGGCACCTACGCCGTTCCCCCACTCGAGAGAACAATTGGCGGCGGTGTTAAGTAGTTTATTTGGCGCTTTGCGCCTGTTCTACGATCCGACTGATGTTCGGTCGGATCGTCGTGACGAGCTGAAAATGCCTCGTCATAACACCAAAAAATATAACGACAAACGTCGCAAGAAGATTGGTGCATTATCGCGCACAATTATTGTGCACCAATCCTCCTTGATTAATAACTAAACATTTACGTGGTCATTTGCAAAAAGGTAGAGAACTTTTTTGTTCAGTCTGATCTAATATATAAGCATACACACGGAAAAAAAAGATCTGCTACATATGGACAACTAACATTTGCTGTATTAGCCTCTTTTTCTTTGCTGCAGGAGCCAATTTCCTTGCTATGATAACAAGAAAATCTGCTCTTGCAACAAAAAAAGTAGCTAAAGCAGTAAATTATGTTTATTTGTCCATCTAGCAAATTCACTACGTTAACCACTTGTTGTAGGAGCAGATTTTCTTGTTATCATAGCAAGTAAAAAAAAGTAGCTAACATAGCGAATTATATTTAACTGTCCGTACACGGAGAAAAATAATTTTGCTCTTTTAGCAAAATCGTCATTGCTACTGCATATTCGTAGTGACATCAAAAAAATTTAGTTGACGTAACTAATTTTACAAATTATTTGTTATCAGAGCAGAAGTAGTTTCGTTGCCAGAAAAAATTGACTGTATTTGTTCTAATTACGTTAATTTGCTATTGATGCGAAATAATGTATCCTTAGCAAATTTAGTTGTTATCGGAGCAAAACTGCAATTGCTTACATAAATCCATCATGGTTCTAATAGCAAAATAATTTATTAATAGATTCAGTAAATTATATCCAGCAAATAGTGATTAGTACTCTTAGCAAATTTTTTTGCTATCCATATAATAACGAAAAGATTTTGCTAGATCAGCAGAAAATTTGCTGGGCCAGCAAATTACTTTTCTCCGTGTATATAGCAAATTAGTTTACTGCTGCAGCAAATTATTTTTTTTCGTGTACCGTATGGTATGTGATTCACAAATCTTCTTTGATTAATAACTTAGAATTTTACGTAGTTTTTCGCAAAATGGTAGATGAATTTTTTGTTTAATTGAACAAGAAATCGAAAGTAACAAATCATTCGTTCTTACACTAAGGGAAAAATGTATGATACTTGGAATTATAATGGCATAGTAAAAAGATTATAGTTAGGAATATTATTTTTATAATAAATTTCAGCATAATGTTTGTAATATTTACAATATAAGCATAGTATAACTGATCCATGTAAAACTTTTACCAAGAATTATGATCATTTGAAATAAGAAATATAGTTGCAAATATAGAAGGTTGCAAATATAGTTGCAAATATAGTAAGGTTGCAAATATTGAATGGTAAGAGAAATTAACTATTTTATATAGTCAATACAATTGGAATATTTGGAAAATATAGGTACACTGAGAAAAAAATTTATTAAATTTCAAAAAACGTTTGTTTGGATAGTACTGTAAAGATATTTGTTTAAATTAAGTAATTATTTTCCAAAATTAAATAAAAAAGTTTTAATATAAATTTGTTTCTTTAATTTTAGAAAATAATTACTTAATTTGAACAAATATCTTCACAGTACTATGCAAACAAACGTTTTTTGAAATTTAATAAATTTTTTCTCAGTGTATATGTAACTATATTCCCAAAGCGTGCTTTACTATATACATAGAGTAATAAAATGGTGACTATAAATTTGTTTTAATTTTGGTGACTATAAATCTATTTCTATATCTTTATGTTTAGATGAACTATAAATATATATTTGAGGCCAAAACGAACTATAAAATATAGTGAGATTATAGTTATTCCAACTATTTTTTTCTCTCAGTGTACTACGGGATTGTTTGCTGTCCCATATCAACAAATCACTTTTGTCGCGGGCACTGATATTTTGTTAGGCTAGCAAAGTTTTTTTCCCTTGATACATAGATTCATT